CTACGTAGCTTTGTTGGCAGTCTCAGCAGAAAGGTCAAGGATTGGATGGGTCATGGAGACCAAACTATCCTCTCACCTCTAGAGGTGGTCCCTCCAGGACAGAGATGAGGCACATTGGTGGGGGCAGTGTGGGGAAGCTTGCACGGCTGTCGCCCATGCTGTATCTGTTCTGTGGGTAAATAGAGGGCTTCAGCCTCCAGTGTTGTCAATCCACCACCTTTCACCAGCACTAAATTAAAAAGAGTATAAATAAATACAGAAGAAAAAAGAAAAAAAAAAAAAGAAAAAAAGGAATAGAAGTGCATTGGCAGAGCTGTACATGTAATGGTTGTGAAGTACCTTGCTCTGGCCAGTGACACTTGACCTTCATTTTCATAAGCATCAAATTCACCCAATTCAAAAACAAAACAAAAGGAAAAATCACCAACGAGAAAATCAAAGCTGTATTACCACAGTGGAGCATACTGTAGGGTTTTCATGGCTACAAACGACTTCATTCCAAAGAGCAGAGTTGCAATAACCAGTGTGGTGACCTGCACACTGTGAAACAGAGAATCTAGGACTTTAAAAACTAGTCTCACAGTAAGTGGGTAATGTCTGAATGCTACTCTCTCCTAACTTGAAAGTGAACAAAGCAGAGAAGAAATGCATTATGTAAGGCTGTCAAAACCTTTTAGTAAGGGTGAAGAATAATGTTAAGATATACACTGAGGTATTTTTCAAAACAGTTATTCCCTCATTAGTGGTCATTTACATTGGCCAGCTCTCATCTTTGGGAGGTGCTGTTGACTAACCGTCAGCACCATGCTCTCTGCAGCGTTCATCCCTTTGGTTTCTAAGGAACAACGAACAATACAGTTAAGAGGGAAGCTGGTGCTGCTGAGAAGTCACCAAGCTCAGAAAGAATGGTGCAGCCCATCGCTGGAAGTGTTGGCTTTTTAAAATGAAAGGTACATGGAAATACTGTGATCACCAAAGCCCTCATTCCCCAGAAGATTCAGACCTCACATGCCAGTTGAGGCACATCCACTCAGGGGTGACTTTCTGGCATGATGGCTCTGTACTCAGTTTCATCTTCCCCTTTCTGTTATGCCAGTTTCATCTTGCTAATTTGTTACTTCAATTCTTATTATTTTCCTTCCAGCTCTTGGCAATCAGTGGAGCTATATGCCTTTATTTGAAGACATCCACTTCTCACCTTCCTACTCCATCTGATCCTCCAATTAAATCACTTTGATAGATGTGTCTGTGTCTTACAACAGCCAGTCAATTGAGACTTTATTGCAAGATCGAGCAAAAAAGCCCCAAGCTGGCCTGAGAGAAAAGTATTTACTTGTTAACAAGCAACAGAAACCTTCCCCTGCCTGCTCTGTACTCTGTCCATAAGGAGACACACAGTTCCCCTATACAGAAAAAAGGGATAGGATTTAAATAACAGCCTCTGTCTCTGACTGCATCTCTCGTACTTTCTTCATATTCCTGTGAAAAGAAGTGTAGAAAGAAATTCATGAGCCTGCAATTAAGAATCCAAAATGAGAGAAGAAAACTCAAACAGAAGTAACGAAAATTGGGCGATGGCATGCAGTATTTTTGCTTCAGCTGTGAGACTTGGGAAGAAAATGGTTAGCTTTATCTAGCTACCGTAACAGCAAAGGCAGTAACAGTACCATTAGAGTCTGTCACTGTGTTCTTCCCTTCTTCAAGATTTTCCTATCAAGGAAATCCTTCCTTGTCTCTGTTCACATCTTTCAACACTCATCATGTACATACGCTTGTGCATACAGAACTTTCTGCTAAACTGCCTTAAGTTCTTTGTGCCATGATTTCATGATATATCTAAAATGGAATCTTTGTGTTTGTCTCCATGATCTCTCTCCTTTAAGCACTGTACCAAAGAATATTCTTATTTTCCTCTACATTGCCTGTCACAACTTGTGGCAGAATAATAGAAACCATTATAAAATCCAGTTGCCTGAAATCAGCACACATCAGATACACTCCAAATGCTGCTTAAAAAAAATAAATCAATCAATTTTTGAAAAATGTAGAACATTTTGAAAAAAATCATTTTTGAAGACCCACACTCTGGAAAAGCGGTGTATTTCAGTGCAGGTGGTGTTTTACCCAATAAGTTGACAAAGTTGGAAGAATTATGGGATGCCTGTAGTTCCCATTAACTCCCATTTAGGTCCATCCATTCTTACCTCGTGCACTGGAAGGAGCAGAGTTAATCATCTGGGATGGCGCTGAGTGTGTGGAGCTCAGGCTGGAGGTGGATGGGCTGGCCTGGCATAAGGATAAAACAGACACTTTGGTGACTGAGCCTTGATACCTGCACTGAGGGTCAACAAGCTGCAGAAAGCAGAGAAACCATCAGAGGAGAATGAAGTGGTTCACTGCATTGGACTTTTACCTGTCTTACATCACCCAGGGTGACCACAGTCTAGGAAATAGCTTCAGTGTAGGTCATTGTTAACCTGCACTTGAGTGTGGGACTCATTTTGGGAACAACATTAACTGCATATGTTGAACAGGTCAGATACACAACATGCTGACTGAAATCTCATGTTTTGAAAGCAATGTTATCATCCTGGACAGCAGCTCTCAGAAAATTTCTTCCCAAAGTAAACCTGGCTGAATTAATCTGTCATCCTTCTTGAACAATGGCAGATTCTAGCTATTCAGTTCTTCATAGATAACCTAGCAGAAAAGAACCATGAGTTCAGACACGCAAACTGCACTTGGAAGCACAGCCCTCTGAGCATGCTCAGTGCTGCTTCTATCACTATCTCGTGGCACGCTGGAGCCTACCTGCATGTGGTACATCTCCTCCGCAGCCTCCCCCACTGAGCTGTCTGTTAGGATAACCAGGTTCCCTGTTTCGCTAGAGGTGTGGGATGACAAAGAGGATGATGAGTGTCGGACTGAGCCAAGTAAGTTCAGTGGGCTGCAATGAGAACAGAGACACAACAGGGCTGCTGTTAGTTTTTGAATTAGTTTTTGAATTTGCATTTTAATTTGTGAAGCCTGATTTTTTTCTGGTTTAGCACTTGCTTTAGGTCACCTCTACAAGTCAAACACTCCTGAAAAAATCAGGCCAAACAATCAAGTCCATAAATTTGAAAGAAGTGCTAATAAGACTAAAGATAACATAGTATGTGGGACATCAAATTTCAGAATCCAAAGCCAGGTTAACAAGTCACAATGCTATCTTTAGTAACTGAACATTCTGAAATCATTCTCATTCTCACTGCTGCAGAATGATGGGGGAAGCAACTTAAAAACCTTTCCGACAGAGTCCAGGCAAAGGACACAGGTCAAAACACAGACCTCCTCACTGCATCTTTGGCCATCTGCATTACAGACGAAGGCAACTTTCTACCTGACAGTACATTAATACAATGCAAAGAGTGTATTCTGCATGCAAAGATGCATTCTGATCTTTTTTTTTTTTTTTTTTTTTTGTGAATCACATACACAAACACATCTTTTGTACTCTACAGAATCTCCCTAGCTTACCCCAAGAGCTCAAGAATGCTTTGCAAAGTGATGAATTCTGAGGAAAAAATTCTCTTGCCCAGATCCCAAAGTGCCAAGGCACAGAAGTGGTAGAAGAGTCACTCCATTTTAATTATAAAAAGAATCTCACAATCCTGTACCCAGGAGCAAGGATCCACATTTTTTACTGCTAGGCTTTAAAAACAGCTGAACTGTGCAGACCTACCAAGAGGAACATGGTAGAACATCTAACACTGCATCATTTGGGTGCCATTCTTGTCACTGTTTCTCAGACTGGCATTTTCTAGTAAGCAATTCTGGCTGGGTATTCTGGCTCTGCTTTGACCTGAAAATCCCAATTTGGGATTGGTCCTCAGCTTCTATAGGAGGGCATTCGGTCTCAATAAGGATTTCACATTTTGAGATGTTTCTCTCAAGTCTGAGCTACTTTCTGATAAAACAACTTTGGTGTCTTAAAAATGGGCACGTTTCTAAAGCAAAACAGCAGAGTTTCCCTGTTGCTGCAGGTAAGGACCTATTTACTTGCCATCTGCATAACAGGAGAAGTTGGAACCTTGCAAGTCAGACATGGAGATGTGTAAGCAAAGCAATGTAACATCTGGAGGTATTTACCATTTGCTGCAAACCAGATTTCTCAACTTCTTGATTCCAATCAACATTCAAGCTTTAATAGCTAGCCCTGAATGAAGATAAAGGACACTGCTGCCAAAATTCACCCTCCTCCTACTCCCCCAGTAGTGTTCACTGCTTTTCTACCCCTTGAATCTTAATGCAGCAGTGTGCAGAGATTCTACATATTCCAGCATCAGACCACATGGTACCTGTGTCGATGAAGCAGCTTTATGCTCTCTGGGCTCATAGGTCCATGGGAAACTAGAATATTGCTGCGAGGTGTACTACTGCCAGAACACGCTGGGCTCAGCTTATCCAAACCAGGCAACTCCTGCACAGGAGACACAGAGTCACTTAACTGTAACTATTTTAGCTAAGTCAGTAATGAGAAAATTACAGCAGTTGTCTCAGAAAAAAATTCTGATTTCTTTCCATGTTCTCTGTAATCATCTGCAGTTATCCTGTGCTTCCACAGTAGGAAGAGCTTCAGTGTTTTATTATCTACTTCCAGCAATACTTCCCAGCCACCATTTCAAGAATTCTGGAGAAAAACAGGGGCACGCTGTTGACCAAACTGCAACCATCTACGTTTTTCCGAAAGGATAGGTGAATTTGAAAACAGAGATCTTTTAGAAACTCTTAAAAATAGGCAGTGAATTCGGGCTGACAACTGTGACCTGTATGGATCGCATCTGCTCTGAAAGAGAAAGGCTGTATTTTAAAATTCTGATGCTGTAATTTCTGGCCATTCCTGCATTCACTCCCAGGAATGGGGAAAATGTCTTCAAGTTAGAAGCTTTTAGAAAATACGTACTTGAGTTTGAAGTAAAGTGCTAACACATTTCAAAAAATTCTTTTCTGTTTCACAGAAAGAAGTCCTTCAGTTTGGTTGTGATAACATACAATATAGCGTCAAGATATCCACAAAAGTCTGAAACATATCTGTCACAGAACACTGATGTACAGCAGAGCACAAATGGGTGGAAGGTACAAAGACCGAGGGGATGCCATGTGTACTTCTGGTATTTAACAGACACTATGAACTATCCTCTGGAGGCAGTTCTCCTGACTCACATAGGAAATGCAGACCTATAATATTGCGTGTACAGATCATCAGAGTTGGGTGCCTGAATTAAGCAACAAGAATTTCTGTTACTGTCTATATATATATTAAAAAAAAAAAAAATACTTCTGGAGGGCCTAATCCATGCCATGCTACTCCAAATGATGACAGTTCTAAAAGCTGAACATCAAATACTGTCTGTTAATCTTTCTTTCTGTTTTATATCAGAGAAAGATATATATAATCAAGAATTCTTGTGATAATCTGGCAATCCAGTAGATTTGGTCAGTGCCATATCTGCCCAAGTTCTTGTGTGAACGCTACTGCAACAGATGCTCAGAATTCTGAATGATTCAGAATAGGAAAACTGAAGACCAGCTTACGTGGTACAAACTGGATCTCATCATCTGGAACTGGTCTATCAGTTTCTTATGCAGAGGACGCATTTCTGGATGGACAAATTTCTCATGGACTGCCAGCCCCACTCCTAAGACATGCACCTGTTAAGAAGAAAACAACACAACAAAACTTAATAAAGACTAAGAGAGAGAACAGAAGCCTTATCCTCAGTCTGTCAGTGTGTAAGGGAGTACTGCAAAATATTCCACTGTTCAACTAAGGACTGCTGACAATCAAGTAAGTCTAGAAGACCTGGCAAGCTCGTATTACTTCAGCAAGTACTTCAAATGTGAAAGTACATTTATGTTACAGTAGATTACATTTCTTAAAGACAACTGTAAAAAGAAACAAAAGATTGATTCTCTCTCCAGAGTTAGCAGCACAGAGTCCTCATAATTCACTGTGACCAAAAAAATAAAAATGAAAAAGGATGTTCTGATAACTGACCTGAGCATGGCAGCATTGCCACCTATGTTCATTCTTTCTGCTGCTCATTACTTATTTATAAAGGTCAGATTTTCAAAGGTCAAACATACAATATTAGTCACTGAAAGAGATCATATCAACTCTCAGATGAAAGACAGTCATGATAGCATATGCATATGATTTCACACATGATCAAAACTGTGTACAAACAATAGCTAATTAATCTTCAAACATCTTCTTGAGGATGGAGGGGAGATAAACATTATCTTTATCTTACAGATGGGAAATCTGTTAAGCGATCTGTTGACAAAGCAGGCCTAGTAGCTCTGCTCAGACTTGGCCGCATTGCTTACTGGGGCTTATTTTGCCAAACTTTCCATTAGCAAGGATGTGATTGTCTGATTTCACTCCCAGCAAAGCATCCAGCAAGCTTTATCTACTAAGATGTTTTGTGGAGATATTAAACAAAATCTGAACTGTAGATAATATAAATAGACATTAAGTTTTCCCACGCGGCTCTGCCAGTTTTACATGGAGCCTGTCCTGTTAAAAAATTTCTACCTTCGAAATTTACTAGGAAGACATAACTCAAAATGCCAGAAATGAACAGCAGGCTTGAAGCATGGCACAACACCTATTGGATACTAAATGGTGACAACAAAATTTAAGCACTGTTAGCAGAGCTTCACCTAACATTGCCTAGGGTGATTGGCTTGTTCAGAAACACTTGACTACCTGCTCTCCTTTTTGTTTAAATGTACTTTAAATCTCCTGTACTGAAATTCCTTGCTTGTGAATGGATGAACTGGACCTGGTATGTTCAGACCACTGATTAATCCAGAAACTACAGAAGAGTAGTACCTGTTCCTGCATGAGCTCCTTAAGCTGTGTGATCTTCTCTGCATCTCCAGGGTGCTTTGTGATATAATCTTTATCAAAAAAGGCCTGTAGGGAAAAAAAAAAAAAAAAGAAAAAAAAGCCTTCTGTTTAATGGAAGATATTTATAATGACTTGGTGTCGAAAGACAAGAAGAAAAAGTTCCGAAATCTCAGGAAAACTAAGTATTTTAAGCCTACAGCAGAAGCTCAATTTTACTGCTTTTGGCACTCCGGGGTTCAGGTAAAGCTACAGTAAGGTTTTAGCAACCTAGATCATTCTATTCCTACTTTAAAGGAACCAGCGCCGAATAGCATAAGGCATGAATCTGATGGGCTTTCTCTATGCAATAATGATGGCAATACCACCAATCCCTATATTATTCAGTTATTTGAATTTTATATCATTTCCTTCACAAAATCTCCTCAGGTTAATGGAATTAAAGAGTAAGATGGTACCTAATGCAAAAGAGTGAAGAGCATTCTCTGTATGGCTCAATAGGAAAGACATATCCCAGACCCCTGGACCACTGCTACCATTTCTTACTATTTCACTCTAGACTTACCCTTCATAATGTGGAATTTAATTAACAGCTTGCCAAAGAATATATCAGATAGTGTAGCAGATAACATCAGATAATTTTAGGGTCTCAGTGAGTCTGAAATTGGGCTAGCAAAGATAATGGTTAGGTAGCAGGAATTAGCAGCTTTTCCTGATTACAGGCCCAATCACACTCTGATATCACCGCAAAATGGATTTATAACATAAGAAATGGGGTTTTTTTGTACTGCTGCTTCACTCCTGTACCTGCCGGCTCAGGTTTTCCATGTAACCCAAGCTTTGTTCTTAAGAACTCTACTGCCAACTGCACCTAATTTAATGCAGTATCCCAGCTCCATCTCTGGAGCCTCCTGTTGACACACTGAAGCACTGCTGCAGAATAATCAAGCATCGGGTTTTAACCTCACATTCAGATAAAGTACATGATAATTTCTTATCATATTCTGTGACAGGCTCCTTGCAACAAAAATGAAAATAAGATTGAAAAATATTGATCCTCACTTACCTCCTGGTATCTCGCAATTCCCCCATTCACAGCTGCATCAATCACTCCATTAAGACACATGCTGAGAAGATTAATATTACCATGCATTTGTTTATGCTGGTACTGGCTTATCAGCGTTCTTAACTCCTGGTTTTTGTTCTCAACCACCTGAATGGCATTTTCCAAAGGACTTACTTCAACCTTAAAAGCAATTAAACATACTTTAATTCCACGAATGCTTCATTGTGATTCATTGTGTTCCTTGTAAAGAAATACTCTTAGATGGTTCACTGATTTTCACCGAGTTTTCACTGCTAGAAAATTAGCTAAGTTAACAAACTTCATTGTCAGTAATACTCTATTTCAGGTCATGGAGTTGTTGAAGACATGGTGACAATGCAATTATTTAATCTTTTTGGCACATTCTCCTTTACACTGTCACGTTCACCTGAATAATTCCCCTGGTTACATTCAGCAATTATTTAGACTAGGTGATATAGAAAGTACATACTTAATTGCTGCTAAACTGTATCATTTTAAATGGTAAAATTTCAGCCAAAGGAGTTTTCAGTCATCTGCCCTGCACCCTTAGTAAGTCATAGTTTCAGACCTCAGTGACAGAATTATGAATGTTACCAGTTCTCTTCTTTCCACTTCAAACCAACGGGAGATCCCAGGTAAGCTGTGAGTCAAGGTCAGAGTGGTGCGTTCAATCCACAAGCTCTGCAGAAAGAAATTGAGGGATGTGAGACACAGAATGAATCACAATCACATCATCTATACTCTTAGCTACAAGGGAGGGCAAATGTAAAAGAAGAATATATCAACCTCATAACATACATCATAATATAACCTCATAACATACGCATAACAGTAACATACAGCAGTATGTCATGCTGATAATCACTTAAATGCCAGAAAATAATTCAATATGTTCTAAAACAACGCATTCAGCATTTCAGTCAACTCTCAGAGGTTGAGTTTGGATACCAGTTCTGTCATGGGAACCAAGAAGACATTGTGAACATCTACGATCATAAAACAAGAAATCCAGCCAATCAAAAAAACATCTTACTTTGAAATGCATTTCTCCTGGCACTCCAGTGACTTACCTTTAAACTGCAAAATGCTCAGATGTGAAGCCACCAGATTCAATAGCCACTTGTTACTGATGTCTGGCCACCAAATCAGGATTACTTGAAAGGCTACATTAGCATAAGCTAACAAGACAGTATTTGCCTTATTAACACTTAATGCAGTTTTCTGCCTGCCTGTACCTTAAACTCGTTGTCCTTGTCCTTGGGGCCCTTGTGGAAAGGCCTGTCATAGCGGAACTTCCGGATGTTATTGACTCGGTAGAAGCTCTTTATTCGGTCAGGGACGCGGTCCATCTGCAGCACATCGATGCTGTCGGGGATGGGAGTCACGGCATAGATCTGTAAATCTGCACATTGCCTTGTCAAAGAAAGCCATGGGACACTGAACAAGAAAGCTGCCTCTGCTGTAGAAAGAAACAGCATATACTTCTCTTTGTTTACCAACACCCTTCTTTTGCACACGAAACAAGAGGACACAACACCAGAAATCCTCAGGGTGCCTACAAAGCTGTAGTACCCTAAAGCCAAATCAAACAAAGCAAGACATCTGAGGATGCACATATTTTCAGATGTCTTACTACATTCTATCTAGATCAGCCAAACGAGCCAGACCCTATTAGTTCTCACTCAAGCTAGGTGCTTCACTTCTGCAGGCACTTCAATAAATCTTTGTGTCTCCAGGTATACAGAAACCTAAATTTTTAATATTTACTTTCGGTAAATTTCATCCTTTGTCTGCAGGCAGACATCGTCCTATGTTCATCAGGGCAGTTTAACTGCTGTAGTCTTACTGTTACAGACAAGGTCTCTTGTGCAACAAGTGCAAAGAAACTAATGAAAGTAAATATATAAACAACCCTTTCTGTCTGTAAAACTATCAGTGATACATAACATTGGAGAGTGAAAAGCATATCATACGGAAAATGAGTGGGAAACATCAAACACTTAATGACAGTATTCTTAAGGTTAAAGTCCTTCAGTCCTGTGCAGTGCCCTCACTGGTGTGGCACAAGCCAAATGGCAGTGTTTTCATAACTAAAATCTCCCCGGGTCTCTGCAGCCCCATCAGTCATAGTTCCATAGTTCCATC